GGAGAAGTAGCCGGGGTGCTTCTTGAAAACAGGAGTGGTCTGTATTAATCCACTCCTCAGTGAGGATGCGTGCTGCATATTAGTCCAGTTGTTTGCCAAGGCTTCGTCGCAGGCGCTGATCAAGCAATGACATGACCAGTGTTTACTATCGCCTGCGCTGTGGTATCAGAATCGTTCATTAGGCACCAGCCTCGTTCTGGATCTTGGAACAGCTTGCTCTCAGCGTCAGCGAAGCATTAGGGAGGCTTCATCCTGCAAGTGAGAAACAACTTTTTTTTCCTAAGCAACACCAGCAAATCAGAAGCTCTAGAGCCTCCTGCCCTTAGTCTCTCTGGCACAAGGTTTGCGCCAACTGGGTTTCAAAAAGAGCTGCGCCGTGGTTCCCTGAGCTCGACACTGAAAAGTGAGAAACAACAATGTCCCGTGACTTTCCTGACTGTGAAACTTGTGAAGCCTCAAAGGCCCCCCCCAATGCACCAAACATGCTGCAATCGCCCGGCTACTTTTTTGGCCTTTGATCACTTTGATCAGATCTATTTCTGCCTGCACCTTGTTGCACTTGTGCCCCAGCTTTGCACAACGGTTCTGAAGTTGTCGCACAGTCAGCGAGCTGTTTGAACTTTCGACGCTTGAAATCTTCCAAGTTCAAATCATGGTGCAAAGCCTGTTTTAGCTCCTGTGATTTCTGGACTGCTTGATCAACACGTGGCACAGGATGCGCTGTTGCAGTCTGAACAAAATGTTCAGCAAATTATGAAGCTGCCATGCTTGCAAACGTGCATTGTCCGACATGGGCGCCCCATCGAGATGCAAAAGACATGCAAGGATTTACTGAAAAAGATGTTCCCAGTCCTTGGAAAAAATTGTTCCATTCCTGTGCTCTGTGCTGATGCTGTTTACATAGCTCCACCACCTATGCCAAGTTCTATCACCTTTTAACCTAGTTTTTATTTACATGGCACCTGAAAAAGGCGGACTAGTTATCACATTTACACAAACAAGGCTGTATGTACACAGGTGCAAAACACAATCTTTGATTCCTTTGATGTCTGTGTGATTTGCAACCAATCCGAAGGTACCCCAATCTGGTTTTTCAATGGTTTTCAAAAGCATCGCGCAATCTGACCAGTCCAAGACGTCTCGAGTCATTTCAAGCCAGAAACGCCACTGACTCCAATCCAACCGCTGGTCAGACGCCAGATGCCCTACATTCCGAACCTGAGAAGCCATCCCGGCGACAAGCCCAGCTCTCCAATCCACCCCTCCGTCGACCACATCCCCGGGGTCTCCGGTGGTGGCACCGGCTCGGGCATGAAGTTCTTCCGCTCCACGAACTTCTGCCGCCCGCGCACCGGGCCGCCCTCCTGGAGACGTTGCGCATGTGTTGCGCATGTGTCTGCGGGTGTTGGAGGTCTTCCCAAGACCGTGGCAACTCATATTACGGATCCAGTACCCCAATCCCTTGACGACAAGGTGGTCCCGTTACAGGTTCCTGTGATGGAGAAAACTACTTGGACATGGAATGATCGGACCGAACCTCCTCCGCCAAGTAGGTCTACAGTCTACACTCAAACTACATGCTAAGCGGAGGAGCCCTGGTCCACCATGTAGCTTGACCTCCCAGGTAGGTCAACCGGTCGGTCTCCTGGTTATGGCCCACAGTCACATGCTAAGCGGATGCTCCGCATCCCGTTCTTCCGGTGTTCGGTTCTTTCTTTGCCGATCCCGGGACGTCGGCGGACGTCGGCTGAGCGTCGGCGGAGCGCCTGGATCGGAAGATCCATGCAGGAGAGGTCCACGTTGAGCTCTTTAAAGGTGGCTTTCTGTGGCTTGATCTGGGTCCGGTCAGGTCATCCACCGCGATTCGGGAAGGCAGGCAGATTCGGGCCAAAGAGCGGAGGGTGGACCGGGCTGTTCGAAGCGGAGGAGAACTCACAGACTGATGGGTTGGGGTGGAGTTTAGTGGGCGGATGACATGACACACATACTGACGGATTGTTTTCATTATTGTTCCCTTGAAGCCAGAAACTCGGAAAAAGCAACTGAGATTTGAGCTGGACCATAAGAGTGACACCGTTTCCACTCCTGATCTCCATGAAAACCTGGATTTCATCCGATTGCACTGGCGATGTTCGGTCACGCGGAAACCGGCAAGTTGACTCAAAGACCCTGTGGTGTAGATGGGGAAAACCATGCATGAAAGCCATGACCATCGACAAGAGTGATTGGAAGGAATTGAAACATACAAGCACGTGCCAAGTTGGAATAAAGTCATACAACATCGCTATGCCAATGCCACCCAACAAGAGCATGCGATCATCTAAGATGCAGTGTGAGCATTCATCAAACGACCACCTGAAGGGGCGGATGAACTCGGATTTACAAGCTACAGTGGCTGTGCCTAGGGTCTCTCATGTGATGTAGAGCGCTTTGTTCAAACTCGCGTAGCAACCTATAGCTTGGACCCACTGAAAGATTGCTGAAATTCCAGCTCATAATTTGGAGAACCGGCCCAACAACCAAGGCATTCGAGAAGAGTTACCCTCCAACAAACCACGGATTTGTAGAGGAATATCGTCATCCTTTCGGGGCCGTGACATCCACATAGCCATGGACGTGGGAGCGTACCTACCTTTCAGCCACGTCGTTCGAAGGCTCCAGTCTGGGCGAAGGACTCCACAGCGAGTCCCGTCCGAGTGGCATTGTCGCTAAAGAGGATGTCTAAAATGTCCTGATCTGGGTAGCTCCTGGCCATCGGGTGCCAGGATATCCCCAAGTACGGGTGCATCAGTGGGGCGCAACAAACAAATTGTGAACTGTGATGTGGAAAATCTGTAGCCAACAGCCCAAGTACAACGGATAACAAACAAGAAATTCTCCCAAGTCTGTTCACTTCTGTCTCTCGTTCACCGCAGACCACAGCCCCCCCATCACGTCCATCCTCTCCCAGCCATCTGACCGCGCCACGTACCGCCCAGGTCGCTTCGGTCCACCGCTGGACGCGCACGCGGACGCGTCCACGGGGCGCCTGCTCTCCCCGCGGTCCGCACGCAGCCGCATCTCCACCACGTGATCCGGGACCGCGGCACGGAGCTTTTCGTCGACGACCTAAGGCGGCAGGGAGGAACGGCAGAACTGGTTTTCATGAAGGGGGTTTGTGTGGAGGGTTCGGAAAAGAGTTCGGTGATTCATTCGGAGGTGGAACACATATGAATGCTGGTTGACCATTCCACGTGTCTCGTTGCTTGGTTGGGAGCCATTTTGTTGATGGGAGAGAGGGAGGGAGAGGGAGAGGGGGAGAGCGAGCAAGAGCAGCAAATTGAAACATGGACAGGGCATGATAGGGCCGTGTTCTGTTTCCGTGGATGCGTCCAACGCCAAAACCCGGTCCGGTCTACATGGCCGGATCAGTTCGAGTTGTGGGACCGGTCGAGAACCGTGGACTGGTCAGTCTGGTTTCATGCGTCAGGTCGTCAGTCTGGGAGCTCCAGGTGTCCTCGGATTCCTCGGTGAAAGGTCAGCAACTTCGATGGGTTTCTCGGTGATTCCAGGGACTTTGAACCTCCTCAGCGGAGGTCCTACTCTTTGGACCTCGGACTCTGAGAGGTGGATGAACTGCTCGAATGAACAGATCAGCCAGCCCTACAGATCATCTGTAGGACCGACTGGTCAGGAGGTCTTCTGTTGTAAGAGGTAAAAAAACAATAAAGTCAAACATGGGTATGTCAGTATGTATCAGTATTAGTCTTCTGTTGTATACTCAGTATGTATCTCCATCTTTTTTCTTTCGTTCGCTATTCGAGGTTTTTCACCGCTAGCTATGTATGTATCTCCATCCCCTTCCGATACACACGGCACACGTGTGCAGCCCAAGAGGCCCAGCGCGCGGGCTCACAATGACAGTTCCGGCGCCGGTGGTCCTACCGTTCGGGCTAGGGAACCGAGGGTCTCCCGGGAACCTACGATCGAAACGACGCCAGGGAACGGTTTCTGCAGGGTGGCCGTTCTCTCCATCGAGTGAACAACCAGGAGTTAAGAACAGTGATCTGTATATCTAAAGGTTTCGAGTGATTGGTCCTGTCAAGCGCTTTGCAAGAAGGAGGCAGCTATGGTCATTTGTCGCTTGCTTGGGGGTGCACCCCATGAAACGGCAAGATTGGAAGTTTCCTCTCTGAAACCTTCCCCCAGAGTCGAACGTTCTCCGGTGACATGCGACCGTTTTCTTTCACATCGCCCCCGCGTGGAGCGGGTGCGGTTCACCTCGCCGAAGCGAAGCCGCCAAGCCTGCAGGGGATGGAATGGTTGACATGGGAAGAGGTCCGCTTGGGACCATTTGGGATGTGAAGGTTGGTGAACCGTTGTGTGTTCGAAGAGGCTTCACAATTAACTGTTAATCACTTGAGGTTAGGACCGGCACCAAAAGAAGGTTCACAGCTTGATGGCCCAATCCCATGTCTGAAAAAAAAAGAGGCATGAGTGTTTTCAGATGAAATTTAGAACCAAAAATGTATAATACGGTAGCTGAAAAGGCTCGCCACTCAGAAACCCAGGACCTAGTGCTGTTTTCACACCGTCCTGAAATCACGCGCGATAGAAGCGGCGTGACGCGCAAAGGCCTTGCAGCTTTCAAAGCAGCTGGCACATCTTTGGGCAATCATCGCCTAGGATCGCAAGGAACCTGGACATATATACATAGACCCCCAAATAGATAGAAGTTCGTAGATCCCCACGTAGAAAATGTATCGGAAACCATGGTACAGACCCATCCAACCCCAAAATGTCCATCTCCTCCTAAACATAATATTAGCTTTCCGGCTTCCAATAGATCTGTTAGGGGACGTGTTTCGAAATGGGTGGATGCGTACGACTCCTCCGAAATTTACAACTCCCCGAGATGGTTCTGTTCATGTTCTTTTTCTCTTTTTTAAGCCACTCTTCGGCGGTGGATGACCATCTCCTTCGGTTATCACTACAGCCAAGTGAGTGTGTATACCTCAAACAGGGAGATCTGTTTGGTCGTTGAATAACTGATGTTTGCTTTTGCACGGAGTCCAACTAGTATTAGACCACAACGCATTGGTTGGGTTTGCCTTACGCTTAGCTGACAGCAACCACCGCATAGTCACAGTTGTGGGTGAAACTACAAAGGCCAAAAAACCATTGGTTGGGAGTCCCCCTCTTTAAAAGCACACCCACATAACACCGACCGGGTCGTGTTTTGCCCATGGCATCTCTCCTGCCGCAGGCACAGATCTTCCGGTCGAAAACCTCCGTCCTCCGTGCGACACGGCCATCCTTCAGCAGGAGCTCTCTCATCGTTCCTGGAAGCGCCATGCCATGTGCCAGGAAGCGAGGTTGTGATCGATTCACTTGAAAGGAATATGATCTAGTCGACCATAAAGAGAAGGGTCTAGTCTAGTCTTATGCAAGTTCTCCGCTCCGGTTCTTACGAATACCCAATATTCCATACTGTGACAAACAGTAGTCCTATGAATGAAGTGAATCAATGCCGACAAATCTAAGAAGGTGGGGCCCACCCAGTAGTTGCTCTTCGCCTGGCACGTTCCTTTTCGGGGGATGTGTGATGGTCCGAAACCTGCTGGACACATCACATAGCAGTGGAAGGCATGGCCGCCACAGGAGACGATGTTCCTCTACACTGGCCAAGGTGGTTGCCACTTCCAGTGGGATGTGTTCGTCATTAGTATATATAGACCTTGCCAAACACATCTGGCGCCCGTCTGATCCAAACGTATGTCGACCTGCGGGCAGTGGTTCAAGGGGTTGGCCACCGGGACGAGGGGAGGGAGGAGGGTCGGGACGGTCGAGACCAGATTCGTTGCAAAACGACCAAAAGACACGGCACGACCAAGTGCGCGGCACGACCCAGATGCCTACTGGGATGTAGCCATCCTCATCGAAATCGATGGACTGCAAGATCTCATCTGCTTCGTCACTCTCACACTCGACTGCCCCACTCTTCAAGAGGCTGTCCTGAGCTTGGTGGGACTTCTCACAAAAAGACGGCAAAAATTCACAGAATTCCAAGCAATTGCTGGGTGGGTTGGGTTGCCCAAGATTTAAAGAAGGGTATCTAAACTAAGTGACTAAGAGCTCCACCCTTTTGACCTTCGATATTAAGTTATACCAGCATAGACCCCAAACAGTTTCAAAACAGTTCGTTTGGACAAGTATTTGTCAAAAACGATTTCTTGGTACGCCCTACTCCTACCTTCCCCCCCCAAGAACTGCATCAATGATTTTTGTCGGCATCGACATCGCTATTTGCTCGGCCACAAGAGAAGACAAGAGAAGAGCAGGACAAGAGGAGGACAAGACCCGGTCACAGAGCCCGGCCACAGAGTTCAGGGGCGAGGCCAGTCAGTTTTCTAAGATAGAACCCCAACAGTAAACTGTTTGGTGAAAAAACACATAACATATACTAAAAGCCTGCTTTTCCAATAACTTCAACCCCTTTTGCGACCGTCAAGTTCAAATCCCTTCCAATAGTCTAGTTCTAAATCAATGGATCTCCAACAAATCCCTCGCTTTCCAAAGGTTGCTCTCTCTGCTGGTCAGGCCGCATACGAGAAGTCCCGTCCACCATCACTGGGATCCAAAACTCAGAAGCCCCGTGTGAATGAAATACTAAACATCCTATGAACATATCCACCTGGTTCGATTCTTCAAAGAACCATATTCGCAAAAAAAGACAGAATAGTTGGACTCACGAGTCAATCATAAACACAAAAATCTCCTGGCTGATGTGAACATTGTAATTGGTTTTAAGGCGTTTCTGGATGAAAACTCGTTTCGTTCGCTTCAGGAGACCTCGTGTCTCTCGGTCCGAGCTTCGACCTGCGCTTTGGTGAGCTGGCCTTCTTCATCATAGTCTAATTCAAGGAACAAGTCTTGCAGAAATTGCAAGGAGTACCTTGGAGTGGCTAAATCAGAAGCAGAGGAAAAGCACTGAAAAATGTCTCCATTCCCCACCCCGTTTCCCAACCAAAGGCAAGAATGTCTCCAATGAAGTTCAGAGGATACCAGGATTCATACACTGGCCAGCATCTGAAGAGCGGGACTCTTCGGTGAAACTGCCCGAAAACTCTCCCCTCTCCTCGCATCCAAAAGGAACACACCTGTATTTTTTATGTTGTTCATTGTTGTTAGAGCCTCCGTGGTCTGTTTCTCCTCTCTTAGCTTCTCCTCTCTTAGCTCTGCTTCGCTTGCTTCAGGTCACTGTTCCCGCAGTCGGAGGGCCCCGTCCATCCAGAGGCTCCACTCCAACATGCCGCCCTGGCCACAGAGCGCTGCATACCTCACGAACCACGGCCGGCTCACCGGGTCAGCGGATTCCGAAAAGACTCGATGGTTGAGTTCTTCCCACGGGTCGTTTGATCCATTTGATTGCATTTTGGGTGGGTTGTTTGATCTCCAAGACACGAGGGCTTCTACATGTTTGTACTTCTTCACTACTCTCCCAAAGGCGAAGAAACGTCCAGGATCTTCTAGAGGTCATCTAGACTGGCGTATAGATCAATGACTCAAAGCCATCTTCCTGAATCATAATCTCCACTATCTGACCTATTATGTAAAGATCTGACCTATGATTGCTACAGGCTTCACCCTCAATATATAGACCCCCAAATAGATAGAAAAGTCAAATCCCCAAAATGGTAATTGAAAACTGTGCCACTATCTATTGGACCACTATACCATACTTGAGTGGCATTATGCAGCTCTTCTATACTCTTCTGCGCTCACACTACGGCCAGAGGCACTCGCGGGCAGAGCCTCCTCGAACTCCATAGTCCACCAGCAGCTCGACCACGCCCTCGCAGGGCGCTGAGGGCGTTTTGCTCGAGCTTCGCAAAGTCTGTTGGAGTTCCCGAAGCTCCTCAGCGACCACGGCAGCTTTTGGTGTTGTGGGCGAGGCGGATCAGACTCGGTGGAGGCAGAAGTGGAGCGACCGCAGCGACACATGGCTGGAGTGAAAGGATCAGAAGAATCGAGGTAAAAATGCTCCCATTTAGCCCTGTCATTGTGCGTCGCTCCCAGTTCTCTGGGAGCGGAAGAAGTGCGCGCACATGACACGTTCACTTTATGGCCTTGAAACGATGCCTTGTTCCTTCAAGGGATTCGTGCAATGTCGTTCATGACAAATGGTAAGGACGAAGGACGCACGAAGAACTCGCCCAAATGGGTACCAAGTCCGGAGCTACGGCTACACACGGCTACGGCAATCCAAAAAGTGGGAAGCCTTAGATCATCATTTCTTTGTCTTCGATCACAGAATGTTTTTTGAAAGGCCTCCCTGCTAGATCCTGCTAGTTGTTTCTATTGGTTTTGATATCATGTAGCTGTATGGCCCATCTGACATTACTTGGGATTTCCTTCCGCCAAAAGGCCAGCTTGACAAACATTGAAGCAACAACAGCTGAACCACCCCAAGAATTTTGCCTGTGGCGAAGCTTAATGTCATGCCCACAAGTTGTTTGATGCTGGGTGGGAATGTACTGTCTGCCTAGGATCTCCACATGCCCTGTCCCCAGCCTACTTATGTAAAGGGGAAAGTCAATAAGGTCCTACTTTGAGTGAGAAATGTCTGATACTGTAAAGCTACCTTGGAAAAACACATCTATGTTCAGATTGTCTTTTGCTATTCAGTGCTCCTTTGAGATCGCCGGATGTTTAGAGGTCACGCATGGTCTTCTCAACAAACAAACGCTTCTTATAGTAAACATATGTAAACATGCCCCGCCAAAAAATGAATGGACCCCAAAAATCCACTGATGGTCTTTCGGAAAATGGGTTTCCACACATGTACCTTTTTCAGAAACCACATGGTTTTCTTCACCGTCACCGTCACGGACCGTCGTTCAACATCCGACCGGAAGACAGGCGGCGCGGAGGTTGTTCTTGGAGGCCAACTCGTACATCACTTGCTCGCGCAAGCATTGCGCCGTGGAGCTGCCGATCCTCACTTCGCTCCATCGCGAGTGACCCAGCTCGATCGACCGAAACCGGTGAAGACCGACCACCCGACCGACACCGTGGCATTATTCTGGGCAGGGGGGGACTTGCCATGTGATAGATGCAAAATGGTGCTCCAACCCTCTTGGGTGTGTATATATATATAACTTGGAGGGAACAGACCTGTTTGCAATTTGTATGAAATGACTCCAGTAACGTTCGACATAAGTGTATCTCAGTATCTCTGTATAATTGTGTATCAGAAGCATCGCACTGTGTTAGATGCACTTATTTACAAGCCAAAAAAGGATTGCCACGGCTTACTGACACATCAAAATCTGGTTGCAAGCATGATTTCGCTATAAAATGGGGGTAACAACTCGGTGACAACCCCTTGAGGGGTGCCACCATGAAACGTTTTAGATGTAGTCCCCGTGCATTTCATAGTGGGAAATGCCACGCGAATCCAAAAACAAAAAATAAGACACACGATGGGCTTCAAGGCGTGTGGGGAGAGACCGTGTGGAAGACGAAGTTGTTTGGTAAACCTGTGGTGCAAACTTCCGAGAAAAGCCCATGGTTGTTCGGAAAAAAGACTCTTCCCATCGAGGTGGTGTTTTTCAAAGAAAGGGCAGCAGGATGAAGGCGTCAGTGGATGAGATGCTTCAAATGCCTCAAGTCAAAGGACACCAGTTGAAACCCCCGATTTCTCCAGCCTTCCAAACGTTTTGCATATCCCCATGAACAACTGCCCACAACATACACAAACATCTGGTGACCATGATCTGGTGGGCCCTCATTCCTAATCCGACGGTACAGGTGAAGTGTTTCAGGTGGAACACGCCACTCAAGCTGAAGCTCAGAGGTAGACCAAGGCCCATAGGGATCTTTGTTCAGCTCAGACCAGGTGACGCTCCCAGATCCCCCAGACCTACTTGTTGGGTCGCTCGCCCCGAAAAAGCATGGTTTCGCTCGCCGGGGTGTGTCCTGCCCCAGCGCCACACAGGCATGGTGGAGGAGGTCGAACAAAAAGAGCACCAAAAGGACGAGAAGATGATGTTTGATGCCCCAAGAAGAACATCTCATTTTCGACTCGTGTTTGCTCGTTTTCGTGGAACACACCTCAACACACCGATGTGAATCGTTTTCACCCACCTCGGCTCCTCACCTCGGCTCACGTCACATCTTCCCTCACATGTTTCGCCCAAAGCTCAAGGCCGCCCTGTTCTCCGCCGGCAGGTCCGCATCGGACTCCAGTCGGAACCACTCCTCGGGCGACGCGTGGTGTTCTCCGTGCCATGGGTTGTTGATGCGATTCCTTACGACGCTGACTGCTGAGCAAAGAAGAAGCCATCATGAATCAGAACATTGGAGATCATGTGGTTTCATCCAGATAGGTGAGGTTTTTAATCATCAAGAGCAAAGTCTCGATGTGATGATCACTTCCATCTCACTCCATTCTCGTCAGTGATGGGCTCAAGACCTC